CACATCCTGACATCACACAGCTACAAGGCCAGGTCTGAGACCAGGTGTTTAGCCCAGGGGATCTGCTGGGCCACTAAATATGTTGTCAAAGGCACAAGAAGTTCAAGATACTGGCAGGTAGAGAAACGTGGGCTGTGGTTTGTGGTCTGCAGAACACATAACAGAAATCCAGTGTCAGACTACCATGGAGAAGAAAAGCATTGCCACGGCAAGCCTTACTCTGATGCTGGAGGAAACCTGTGTATAAAGGGACCAGAGGGGGTGAAAGGAAATGCAGGCTTGGTTTTCATTTTTAAAATGTTATAAATTCCAAATGACCCGTATATTTTTAATATTTGCTTTTAAAATGTTAAAAATGTCAACTAACACGCATGCATTTTTAATTCACGTGAGCCTCTAACACTGCAGTAGATGTTCTGGCAAAAGAAAAAAAACAAGGCCTAAAGAACCTGCATTACAGGCAATGTCTAGTAAACTGCAGTCTACAAAGAAAATTCTGGTTTGCCTTACTATTTCTCTTCTGCAAGCATCCTCCCACAATTGCTCTCGGTTGGTTAAGCTGTATGTGCAGAACCTGCCATCTGCCAAACTCTGAAAGCACTTTCCCCACTGGTATGAAATAATTGTACTTCTCATTTAGGAACCTACACTGTTCTCTTAAGAAAAAGGAGTAGATTAGGTAATGAAAAATGCATACAATAAAACTTGCACATCTGAAAATAACCTAACTTTTGTGAGATTAAGTCCTTGAGATGGAACTGTTTGATTTGTGACACACAGAAACGTACATTTATAAGATACATCTAATAAACATCAGAATTATGATTTCTTTCCCATTCCTGAATACAATTTTCTAGAGGGGGTTATGCTTTCTCTTTTAAAATCCTGCATTTTCAAAGATTTCTTTCATAATGCAAGGTACTTCAAGCCGTTCACTTTTTAAATTGGATGTGGCGTTACTCAGTGACACAATTTTAGGCCGTGTTGGAGACTTCCTAAAACGTCGCTATCCTTTAGGGTATTTTAGCATTAAACGAAGGAACACCCTTCCACTTGGCTGCAGCTCCCTCACCTCTCTCGGCGAGAAGGGAGGCAAAGGGCCTCCTCCAGAGAAGCGAGCCCTGGGACAAGGGCAGTGCTCAGCGGTGCTGTCGGGCTGCCCATGTTGTTCCTGCACCCAGGTTTATGTCGCCTCATAGGCATTAAAGTGGGGAAATTTGTCACAATGATGCGGTCTAGGAGAAACTCATCTGGGGGTAGAGAGCCATTGCAAGGCCCCTGCATCTCTCCGCAACTTTCCCTGAGAAATGCTGTCAGTGGTACGGCCTTATTCCAAACAGTGAAGGGAAAATGAGGGATCAGATGAACTGCAGGGTACAGGAATACACGTACCACAGTACTGGGCACAACAGCAGGGGAAGGTTACAACCCCCCCCTACTCTTGCTCGTAAATCTGTGCCTGTGTTGAGCTTGCTTTTACTCAGACAAGTCCGCAGTCCAGCCTATATGTTGGGGAATATCTGTTATCTTTCTGGAATCACAGAATAGAATCATAGAATCATTATGGTTGGAAGAGACCTCAAAGATCATCAAGTCCAACCTTCTACCCAATCCCGCCATGCCCACTAAACCCACTAAACTGTGTCTCGAAGCGCCACATCTAAACATTTTTTTGAACACCTCCAGGGATGGTGAGCCCACCACCTCCCTGGGGAGCCCGTTCCAATGCCTAACGACTCTTACAGTGAAGTAAGGCCTCCCTAGGGTTTTCATAGACTGTTGGAAAAAAAAGACCCCTCATGAACTCGTTACGCTGCGGTAGAGCAGGTATCGCAGCACTGTAAGGGTCCCTAGTCCAGACAACCGCTGCGGTGTGGTTTTGTGAGACAGAGTCTAACACAGAGGGGGAAGAGCTGTGTGATTCTGCTGAGTTTTAGCTACGGTTTCTGTTCCCTTCTACTTATTCACATAAAAATAGAAAGCTATCTCTAAATAATAGTACCACCACAAACATACTTACAATAACGTTTGAGAAAGCCACCCCAACCATCCATAAAAACACTCTTGGTTGCTTTGCTAATATGTTGCCTGGAGATAAAACTACCCAGACTGTAAGAAGAACAAACAGCAACAGAGGTGACACAAGAGGTAGGAGTCCTTCATACAAAGAGTCGTTCTTCAGTGTTTTCTTTAAATGTGCTCTGTAAATAAATATAAGGGTTTTATGAAGTAAGAAAATGTATCCATTCTATTTCCGCACAGTAACTTCAAACTCTAGCCAAGACTCAGCCCAAGAATTCATCCTGCAACACAACTACCTGTGCAAATGTGCTAGATACCCAGACATTTTACAAGAATTTGTAGGATACCCAAGTAACATTTATTTCTGGGGTAAAATTGTACTGGTTTATTCACATAGCTTCTGGTCAGCTTCACCCGCTCATCGTTGCCTGGCAATGGACCACTAAGCCTACACAAAGTGAGCTGCAGCACTCTGGTGTAGCTGTCACCCAAATGCATGGCATGCAGCTTTGCTGTGAATTCAAAATATGTATTTTTTTAGAGAATGAAACTTCTGACATGAGACATGAGATTACTTCAGTAAATATGCCCTGTTTTCAGCAGCAACAGAGTTAAGCACATGGCTGGCAAGCATTGCTGTTGTTTAAGTCTAGAGGTGATGCCGCTAGACAATCCTGTATAGTTGCCAAAGCACAGTCTAAAGGGGAGGCTTTTTTTGCTAATTAGAGTACAGGAAAATTAATGATGCATTGTGTTTTCTTGGATATTTTAAGCTGTCTTTTAAAGGTAGTACTATTAAAGGTAGTAAACAACTATTTTCTGTCAGCTAGGAAAAAGGTAACGGTAAGATCAACAGCTCTTGCATGTATCTTGCATCTTTCTCACTCAGGCAAAACTCACCGAGAGGTTATAAAAGGAGTAGGAGGTTTAATGTACTAAAGTTCACTACCATTAAACAATTACTTCACATCAGTAGTTCAGAAGAGCAATTCTGTGTTTGCAGTGTACTGGGAAATGTCCTGTTTAAAATCTCTGAACATTTGTATTTATAGAAACACCTAGACAAAAATCCAATAGATATCTTTCTCATTCCAAAAAAGAATATTCTTCTGATAAAATAACAACTGAGAACAGGCAGCAGGATGAAGAAAGAGAGGAGATGAATGGGAAACTCAAGTCCCTCATCACCAAATAGCTTGTGTGTGCATCCTTCAAGCAAACCTGACTGGATGTTTAAAATTACTGTGCTCTTCTGTTCAGGGGAATGATAAACTCACCAGAAGGCTTGAGAGAAACTGTGTCGAATGATGACTTGAAAGCAAAACACTAAACAAGAGTCCTGACATGAGAGGAAAGAAGGCATCGGGGTAAATGCTGCCACTGTCAGGGACTGACATGCCCAGGGTGCTGTCCTCCTCCTCATCTTCCCCAAACTGGAGCCCCTTGCACCACTGGTCCCCGGTCCCCTCCCGCTGCTGCTCCCAGCACCCTGCCCCAAAGCCCAGCTTTTCTGCAGG